TGGCAGTATGACACTCTTCCTTTTTGCCTACCTATCCGCTTGCCTATTTGTCTAATCTACCTGCTTATCTAACCTACCTACTTGTCTAACCTATCTACCTGCCTGCTTATATGTCTACCTGCTTATATGTCTACCTGCTTATATGTCTACCTGCTTATATGTCTACCTGCTTATAAGATTCAGTCAGCTGGCGCCCCTTCCTTCTCATTCCCAACGTGTGACAGTAAACACACAGCCAGCCTTACTGTGTGTGTGTACCAAGTGATTCTCCGCCACACCCTGTACCACCACCATCACGCCACACCCTGTACCACCACCATCACGCCACACCCTGTACCACCACCATCACGCCACACCCTGTACCACCACCATCACGCCACACCTTGTACCACCATCACGCCACACCCTGTACCATCACCACCACGCTACACCCTGTACCACCACTACCACCACGCCACACCCTGTACCACCACCACCACGCTACACCCTGCACCACCAACACAGTCACTAACAGTCACACACACCACCATCACAGTCACAAACGCCAGCCTCACAGTCAACACTAACACAACCATCAATACAGTAGCTACAACCATCTGTTAACAACCTCATTTCCTCCTATACGAGATCTTTTACCCTCTCGTTAAGTTATGTCGTCAGGTTCACCCATCACCTTTAACCCGTTGCGTCATTACCGAGTCAAAGATAATGATGAGAACCTGGCGAGACATTCTTCCTTTGACCGACGTCTTACCTGTGTGCTCCTCCTGCTGGAAGAAGACCAACATGCCTTCTTGTCCAAAGGGATCAAACAACCCGCCAACATCCAGGATGAAGTACGTACATGGTTCGTTCATCTTGACGAGCTGCTGGGTCCTCCTCCCTGACTCACACCAATACTGCCCCTGTGTCCGGCCCAGCGAACACGACTCAACTTCTTAAAGACTATAAATTACTCCGCTCGCACTTCAAAGGGAATGATCCTGAACACAGTCTCTCTCTCTCAGTATCTTCCCCGGATACTGATGGAGGCTTATAGGGGTTCGTTGCTTCGACAGACAAGCTCGCTACAAGTAACAGCCGCTGGTAAGATTAACAAGTTTACTGTACATCATTAAGAACTACTGTAGAAAGGCTCGACTCTTCCCTGAGGCTGAAGGTTGGAGTACACAAACGAACATTTTGAACACAAGGTTGGAGTCTCTGCACAACAAACCATGAGTCACATTCATCTCTGTATGAACCACCACAATATATACAGTACAGCATATCATATCGCGCGGCAGGTCACCTTGTTCACTCTCCTGCATAAATCACAGCCAACAGCAGCCTCTATTATCATCATCAAGGCCAAAGGTTCCAGATATATGCTGAAGCTAACATATAAGAGTCTCATATATCCACTAGTATTGTTATATATAATATAATAATGCGATAATCTGAACTGACTCACAATAAAATTAATAATCTCGACGGATACGCCTACACAACACGAGTGAAGGAGAGGCGAGAGGGGTCAAACACCTGGCTGACCCTCGCCCTTCAAACACCTGGCTGACCCCACCCTACACACACACCTGGCTGACCCCACCCTACACACACACCTGGCTGACCCCACCCTACACACGCACCTGGCTGACCCCACCCTACACACACACCACTTCAACACTGACGCTACTGCCACGCTCTCCACCCACGACCACCACCCGGGGAATTAACCACAATCCTATTACAATGGACTTTACCTCTTTTATTACGCCTTCTAAGTGCTTCATCGTAAAGAGAAAACGTCAAATTATTATAGAACAATAAGTAATTAAAGGGTAAAACTCGTCATCTCGCAGGAATATAAGTACCGTATAATAACCAGACAGGTGTGTACGGGGAGGGACAGGTAAGGAAGGTGATGAGTAATGGCCGGCGTGATAAGAATTAAACAGTGGCAAGGCTTCTGATGCGAGGTGAGGAGGGAGGGAGGGATGGAATAACGAGATAAAGGCATGATATCCTTCCCTCCCACCTCTTCCTTTCCTTCCTCCATCTGCGTTCCATCCATCTCTCACCCCTCCCACTGCTACACATGCTACCCCCACAACAAAGCTACAATATTGGCTCAACAAAAGGGAAGCCATGAGCTATACAGTCCCTCAACAAAGACATCTTGGATAGCGTCACATAAAAAGAGGTTGGCGTCACACAGGCCTTGTTACAGTACACCACGCCCCCTCCCATGACACCACACAGGGTTAAAAAGAATGTGTAGTGATGTTAATTAGCTAATGTTGTGTGTTAAAGAACTGTGGTGGTTATGGTAAAATTCTTAGTAATATGTGTTAATGGATCAAGGTGACCAACTCCCCATGCAGCACCACGCTAAACAGGAACAAGAATAACATAACCAAATTGGAAGAGTTCATGTAAGTCTATTGGTCATGTGTTGTGTGTGTGTGTGTGTGTGTGTGTTTATTCACAGTTCAGCTCACAGGTCGCCGTGTACACACTTTATAATTCTGGCGTCCAACCATCATGACGACATACTGGTGTTTGGTGATAGTTAGGCCAAGGTCAGAGGTCACTACAAGTAACTAATGAATGAACCATCTTTACGAAATTTCAGCACAACTGAAAGCCACTAACTTCCTCTACCAACGATCATCTGTCCACCCCTCCCCCCCCCCCAAACTAATTCTCCTTGCTCAGCCATCTTATGAATTAACTGTAAATTTCTATTAATGTATTCCATTTTTGTATTTTGGGGGTGATACTCTGACGCCATCTGGGGGTGATACTGACGCCATCTGGGGTGATACTCTGACGCCATCTGATAAAGGAAAATAGTTTAGTTTTACTTAATATTCCAAAATCTTAATCAGCTTCAATATTCTCTACAGGTCAGTGATTCTTATCTTCCCTTCACGTGCAGAGTTTAATGATGAGGACCCCTGTGGCCTCACTTAGACATTCTTAGACATTATCACGCAAGATCAGGTGTGTTGTGGGTGTTACCAGCACAACAATTCCCGATATTAATCTAACAAGGTCACCGTCTTAGGGAGAGGTTGGTCCTTTAAGGTGGCAACACTGTCAGGGCAGCGTCGAGGGTGGAATATGCTGCTGTGTTGAGCTATTTGTTACTTTAGTTTTTATCATATCTTTAATTTGAATAAACGAACACAGGTAAAGATACAAGTAGAGGTAGTACAGTACAGATGCGGTACAGGAAGGTTGGTACAGGTACAGAGTACAGACTGGATGCAGGTGCAGGTAGAGGATGCAGGTGCAGTTTGCGGTTTGAGTGCAGGTGCAGGATGCAGGTACAGGATGCAGATGCAGGTGCAGGTGCAGATACAGGTGCAGGTGCAGGTGCAGGTGCAGATGCAAGTGCAGGTGCAGGATGCAAGTACAGGTGCAGGTGCAGTGCGGTACAGGTGCAAGTGCAGGTGGGCTGGAGTGCAGATGCAAGTGCAGGTACGGATGCAGTGCGGGGTGCAAGTGCAGGTGCAGGTGGTGGATAAGTGCAGGTACAGGTAGCAGGTGGGATGCAGATGCAGGTACAGGTACAGATCAGGTGCAGGTTGCGGATGCAGGTACAGGTGCAGGTACATGCCATGGTGCATGCATTGCTGCATGCACTGGTAAATGCAAAGTGCAGATGCAGACTGAATACAGTGGGTACAAGTACAGGTACAGATACAAGTACAGGTACAGATACAAGTACAGGTACAGGTACACTATATTTTACCTTACCTTTACCTATCATAATATAATCAATCTATCCTAACTTGACCTAATCAAACCAAACCCCAAGACCCTACTAGATAGCGTTAGGGTGTACAATCATTAGGTGAAATAAGCTGCAGTGGGGGAGGGGGGGAGGGCAACCAGGTGATCTAGACTCTAAGGAGTAGGTACAATAACTTCACCCAGCTGCCATGAGTGTGTACTGAATCAACTAACAAAACATAATATGGCCCGCAATATACACCCATTAGTAACGATAAAATACCTGTAATAATATCTCTCAATACTTAACCTTGAAAAGAATGTGTAGAATAAGTGTACATCAGAAGGTTATTACTTAATGAATAAATTAGTGTATTGAATATTTCCAGTAGTCATCACATACGAGTAAATTTTAATAATGAGTATTTTTAAAGCGGTGGGTATTAGCTTGTTGAATGACCTTTGCTCCTGGTATCTCCAACTCCTCCTCCTCATTGTACCTCCTTCTCCACCATGTAAGTTTTCCCCCCCCTTCTCCTGCCTCTCCAGTCCTATCCCTCTTCCTCCTCCTCCTTCTTGTCCCTCCTCCTCCTCCTTCTTGTCACTCCTCCTCCTCCTTCTTGTCCCTCCTCCTCCTCCTCCTCCTTCTTGTCACTCCTCCTCCTCCTCTTTGTACCTCTTCCTTCTTCTTGTACCTCCTTGTCCACCATGTAAGTCTTCCCTCTTCTCCTCCCTCTCCAGTCCTATCCCTCCTCCTCTTCCTCTTACTCCCCCTCACTCTTGTCCCTCCTCCTCCTCTTCCCTTGAGTACGACACCAACCACCTGAGTACAATGAATTAAACCCAATTATTGTGATGCTAAACCCAAGGACACACACACACACACACACACACACACACACACACACACTACTGTAGGTTCTTGGTACGGTACAGGTGGCTGGGTCGGGCAGGTGTTGGTGTGATTCTCGACATTCAACAGCCAGTGGGTTACTCCACCACCTTGGCAGGATGCTGGTAGACCCCGGGGTTGTTCCACCATTGGCAACCGCACCAGATAGTGTACTTAGTTATTACCGAATACACAAGGGGACTCGAACCTGTAACTATTTCCTTGTGAGGCGAAATATCTACATACAATATAATATTTAAATGAGAAAAAATATTTAATGTACACTCATACATATCTAACACATATATATTAAATTAAAACAAGATAATAATACATATGCACATACCAGGAGCGGTGTAGCAGAGGCCTCAAGCGGGCGACTTACCTGGGAGGGGTCGGTGGCCGGTGAGCACAGGTTCACAGGTGACGGGGTGCAGCCACGAGGTCAGGCGAGCATCCTCACTGCAACACACAAACATACCCATGGCCTCAGTACACAGTGGGTGATGGGCAGGTGGGCTGGGGTGGGTGATGGGCAGGTGGGCTGGGGTGGGTGATGGGTAGGTGGGTGAGTGGTGGGTAGGTGTAATGTGGGGTGAGGTGGGTGATGGTGTGGTGAAGAGGGGGTGGATAGGTGGGGTTGGGGTGGGGGGTGGGGAGGGGGTAGGGGTAGGTGAATGTGTGGTGGTGGGTAAGTGGAATGTCAGGGTGGTAAATAGGTGGAATGGGGCGTGTAGGGTGGTGGGGTGGGTGGTAGCACTGTGGCTTACACTTAGGTGTGGTGGTGGGTTCACACTTGGCAGGGGGGGATAAGCACTTGGCAGGGGAAAGGTGTTGTGGCGGTTCACACTTCTGCAGAGAGGTGGTGGTACACTAGGCAGGGGAGGGGTGTGGCGGTGGGTCACACTTGGCAGGGGAGGGGTGTGCTTGGGTTGGTCACACTTTGGCAGGCAGGTGTGGCGGTGGTCACACTAGGCAGGGAGGGGTGTGGCAGGGTCACACTTTGGCAGGGGAGGGGTGTGGTCGGTTGGTCACACTTGGTAAGGTGTGGTTAGGGTCAAGATGAAAAGTGGTGTGGTGGTGGGTCACACGGCAGGAGGGGTGATGGTGGGTCACACTTGGCAGGGGAAGGGTGTGGTTGTGGGGTCACATTAGTAAGGAGAGGTGGTGGGTCACACTTGGCAGGGGAGGGGTGTGGTGGTGGTCAAGCACTTGCAGGAGGGGTGTGTGATGGTGGGTCACACTTTGGCAGGGGAGGTGATGGTGGGTCACACTTGCAGGGGAAGGTGTGTGTTGTGGGGTCACATTTAGCAAGGGAGAGGTGTGTGGTGGTGGGTCACACTTTGGCAGGGGAGGGGTGTGGTGGTGGGTCACACTTTGCAGTAGGGGAGCGGTGTGGTGGTGGGCTCACTGGCAGGGGGAGAGGTGGTGGTGGGCTGCACTTGGCAGGGGGTGTGATGGTGGGTCACACTTGGCAGGGGAAGGGTGTGGTGGTGGGTCACACTTGGCAGGGGAAGGGTGTGGTGGTGGGTCACACTTGGCAGGGGAGAGGTAGTTGCTGAGGTACTTCGTGGATGACACTGACTTTAGTTTGTGGTGGAAGGACTCTGCCTGGCCACACTATTTTTGTTCTGTATTTTGTTTTTTAAAGATACAGTTTGTCTGGAGGGCAGCTCATTGTCTGGGATTTCAACAAATAATTTCTATGTAACTGACATTTTTTTTTTAGTTTGTCTTATTTTCTGTGTTGGTTAGGTTAGGTAATGCTTGGGGCCAGGGGTGAATCTTCTCGTGTGCCAGTGTCGTCTCTCGCGGTGTAAGGTATGGTTAGTCTTGGTCTATATCTCGTTCAGTTCTTCATTAGTGTTTATTATTTAGCTTAAAGACAGAGTGAGTGTATACTGTGTTCGGGAGGGATATATAAGTTTCTGTATAATGAGAAACTGTGAGAGCCAGGTGTACTTTCCAGACGTGTAGCTAATTAGTAGGTTTACTTTTATTCATTTATATCAATGTTATTTTCTTTCTGGACTATTGGGAAGTTCCTGTTATGTAGGAATCAATATTTCAAAACCTTCGTCAGCAGTGAAGTTTGTAGTTGTATTGGAAACTACTGTAGACGGTGTGGGAGGACATACTTAGATCCAGGTTCCAGGACTTAACATGGTTCAGTGTTTTGGGGAATATTTCAGTGAGTGAGGATGGAGGAAACCAGACATCAGTACGAAAACGAAGTCAGAATAAAAACTCCTTATGTCTTAAATATATACCACAGCGATGAGTTTGGACACTTGACTCACTAATCCAGGTAGAGTAAGAGCGAACCAATCCGCAGGTAACTCAAAGTACTGCACGATACCATACACAACCGTGCATCATTGTTAAAAATGTTTCACATATACACACACACACATATAAAAAACGCTTACCAAGGCTTCACATCCTGTGTATACCTGTATATCATGACCGCCACCCCGTGTATTGATACCACTAACTACACAGTGCTATGAGTGGACGATAACGGGGACGTGAAGTGGGTGGCCACGTGTGGCACTGCCTTCACTGTCCGCCTGCTCGCTACACCTGCCAGATGTCAACTGATAGCCAGCACAGGAGACAGTTAACGTAGGTGAACCTCACATTGTTGCCAACCATCAGCTACACACCACACCCACACTACAGCTGGTCTAGATAACGCCCACTGCTCACACCAACACCCACACAAGCATACACTATGTAGATATACACACAAACTCATTATTTCTCACATTAAACTACGAATTTGATACCCAGAATAACAATATATTAATACATATATATATTTCCGTTGTTTCTAGCCTGCTCTTGGATCGATCAACAAGTGAATGATAGTGTCACCGTTAACATTTTTTTTTCAGACGGACTTGAATGCCGAAATTATCAACAAACAGCGAGTATACTAAACATGCTCCCCTCAGTGTGGAGTTAGTAATAAGAGGGGAGGAGTGAGGGGTGTGAGGGTGGCGGCGAGTGGTACCGGTGTGCTGGAAGGGAGGCGGGACAACCAAATGTTTCCCCTCACACCGGCATCCTCACACACGCCTCTCCTCCATCTACTTCCTTTCTTCTTTGTGAATTAACGTCGCTGTTTTGTTTGTCTTCGAGGTATGTGTTTTTAGTAAGACGTCAGCTGAGACATTAAGTGTGTGTGGTTGTGTGTCTGTATGTGTGTGTGTGTAGGGGAACATAACCTGTACACCCTCCCAGCCTAGCAGTACTATGACGGTAACAATATAGTGCACCACATAAAGGTCATCACACACGACCAGTTCACCATGTTTTCTACCGTCTAAAATAAGTAGTTTAAGTTGAACTAAGGCGGTGTACCACCCCCCCCTCCCCCCACACACACACAAGCCCCGCCTCAACACGCAGACTCCCTCCAGGTAGTGAGTGGCCAGGAGGTGCTGGCCGTCTCACACAATTTCGTCGCGTCCGTAATGCATCACTCAGGAGAGACAATCAGGAGGTGAGTGTTTGGCTAATACTCGATGTGAGAATATTTGCATATGCTCGAAGCTTTTATTCAGCATCCCGATAGCTGAAGTCAAGTGACGAGTATTCCGACGATGTCTCCTCCTCGAACACTGGGATTAGGTTAGGATGGGATAGGATAGGTTAGGTTAGGTTACGTCACATGGCATTTTTTAGCCTCTCCAACAGAACAAGTGATCCTAACTACTGAGATACACAGGTCATTTGACGAAGAATTCACCAGCCTCTTCCTTCAACACTTCCTATTATGATAATCAATTTTCTATCACTGTCTGGATACGGCACAGGGTATGGTGATCAAGAGCTGAAGACTGATAGTGAGGGATGGTGGTGATGGTGAGAGAGGGTGATGGTGATGATGATAGTGAGGGTGATGGTGATGATAATGAGAGGGTGATGGTGCGAGAGGGTGATGGTGATGATGGTGAGAGAGGGTGATGGTAGTGATGGTGAAAGAGGGTGATGGTGGTGAGAGAGGGTGATAATGGTGCGAGGGTAATGGTGATGATGATGGTGAGAGAGGGTGATGGTGATGGTGAGAGGGTGATGGTGATGGTGAGAGAGGGTGATGGTGATGATGGTGGTGATGGTGAGAGGGTGATGATAATGATGAGAGAGGGTGATGGTGATGATGATGAGAGATGGTGATGATGATGGTGAGCGGGTGGTGATGATGGTGAGATATGATGATGATGATGATGATGATGATGATGATGATGATGATGATGGTGATGATGATGATATGATGATGATGATGATGATGATGATGATGATGATGATGATGGTGATGATTGGGGAAAAAAGAAAATATTACTGTCAAACACAAATCAATTTTATTACTGTACGACAATTTGGGGCAGAACTGGCAGAACTGGGGCCTGTCCTCCCTCCCTCACGTACCGGCGTCCCCTCCCTCACGTACCGGTACCGGCCTCTCCTCCCTCCTTGACGTACCGGCCTCTCCTCCCTCCTTGACGTACCGGCCTCTCCTCCTCTCCTCCTCCTCTACTTGGACGTACCGGCCCTCTCCTCCCTCCTCACGTACCGGCCTCCTCCTCCCTCACGTACCGGCCTCTCCTCCCTCCCACTCCCCTCCTCCACTTCGGCTCCTCCTCCTCACGCAGACCTCCCCCTCCTGGCCCTCCTCCCTCCCTCACTGGCCTCTCCTCCCTCCCTCACGTACCGGCCTCTCCTCCCTCCCTCACGTACCGGCCTCTCCTCCCTCCTTGACGTACCGGCCTCTCCTCCCTCCACGTACCGGCCTCTCCTCCCTCTCTCAAGTACCGGCCTCTCCTCACTCCCTCACGTACACAGAGTGGTCCCAAATTTCTACTCATTTCCAAACTTTTATTGCCTAACTTCATCCTAGGAATTTAAACTAACTGGAGACTACATGTGACCAGGTGTTATATTATTTAAAGTGAACTAAAAATAAATGGTACAAATGAATGACTTTAAAAACACGTTCACAATTCGATAATTTTTTTTTAGGTAAGACATAACACGTTCTAGTTCACCTGAAGCTTAAACACCCTAGATTATTTCTCCTGGAGATTAAACAACTTAACACTACCGGGGGGGATTAGGTTTGATTAATTTAGCGTTAGGTTGAGGTGTAAGAATGTGATGGTGAGTGGGAGGTGTGACGTGGTGAGTGGGAGGTGTGACGTGGTGAGTGGAAAGTGTGTAGTGGTGAGTGGGAGGTGTGACGTGGTGAGTGGGAGGTGTGTAGTGGTGAGTGGGAGGTGTGACGTGGTGAGTGGGAGGTGTGACGTGGTGAGTGGGAGGTGTGACGTGGTGAGTGGGAGGTGTGACGTGGTGAGTGGGAGGTGTGATGTGTGAGTGGGAGGTGTGCGGTGGTGTGGAGGTGTGCGGTGTGTGTGTAGTGTTGTGTGGGTGTGCATGAGTGTTGTGTGGTGGTGTGCATGAGTGTAGTGTTGTGTGGTGTATAGTGTTGTGTGGTGGTGTGCAGGGGTGTATGAGTGTTGTGTGGTGGTGTGCAGGGGTGTATGAGTGTTGTGTGGTGGTGTGCAGGGGTGTATGAGTGTTGTGTGGTGGTGTGCAGGGGTGTATGAGTGTTGTGTGGTGGTGTGCAGGGGTGTATGAGTGTTGTGTGGTGGTTGGTGTATACAAGGTACCACTGTCTTTAAGTCACTTCCGGTCATGATGATCCTCCTCGTCTGGGGTGTTGGACTGGTTCACTCGGACACTAACCAGGCGCGTAACGAGGCCTTATTCTCTGGCCGGGTACAACACCGACCCCAGAGCTAACACACCCCAACCTGACCTGACCTCAAACTAACCTAACTTAACCTAACACATCCCAAACTGACCTGACCTTACAGACCTCAAACTTAACTAACCTAACACACCCCAACCTGACCTGACATCAAACTAACCTAACTTAACCTAACACATCCCAAACTGACCTGACCTTACAGACCTCAAACTTAATTAACCTAACACACCCCAATTTGACCTGACCTCAAACTAATCCTCCCTAACCTAACACACCCCAACCTGACCTGACCTCAGATTAACCTAACCTAACACACACCCAACCTGACCTGACTTTACAGACCTCAAACTATTCTAGCCTAACCCAACCTAACCAAGCTCCACTCAGTCCAGCCTTACCACACATACCCCAACCCAGCCCAACTTAACCCAACCAAACCTAATTCAACCCAACCTAACCCTACACAACCCATCCTAGCCTAACGTATACCAACCCATCCCAGGCTAACTCAACCCAAACTAACCATTACAACCGGAACTAACGAAGACTCAGGGTCCACTAGAACTGGGGCCCAATTCGAATGACGCCTATTATGACTGGACCCTCAATAGCATATGTTTACGTTATCATATTCTTACCTCTTTGTGTAAATAGATTTTTGTTTTAATTTTATTATTTGATTTATTCATTTCCGTATCTAGGCTAAAACATCTTTTTATTCAATAATAAACAGGTAAATAATGACAGCACCTGCAGATTGCCCCCACATGTTAATTCCCCTAAATCTTAGCTATCCTAACCAAACTTAAACTAATCCAACTTAACTCACCTTAAGTTTAACTACTCTAACGCTAACCAACCCTAACCTAACCAAACCTAATTAAACCTATTCTAACCAAACATAACCTCCAAAGTAGGGTTAGGATGATTAATCTTCAGGTGAAATAAGAGGGTCGTTTACCATCACTGAAAAACACCTGCCAAAACTAATCAGATAATAATATTCACTCTAATTATTGATGTTACCTTAATGATACTATATTAATTGGGATTATATTAAAGGAAATTAATTAGAACTTTTGACATTTTGACCAACTGAGAGAATACGGGGTTGAAATATTGATATGACATGAACCAAACTAACGAAACACATTCTGCTTAAACTAAATTAATGATCTTAGTTTACAAGTTGGACTAGTTTAAGCTAGTTGGGTTAAGTCACCTTGGTTCATCTCATGTTTCAGAAATGATTCAATGACGTTGTCGTCTAACAGCTGTCGGGTTTGTTTACATATGACGTCACCCCATACACACACACACTAGGTAGCTACTTCACCACCCAATACACCAGGTGGTCACAGCCTTACTTGATGAAGAAGATCCGGCCGTCTTGTGTAACACCGAAACTCCAGGGATGAGGAAGACCCTTCTGCAGTAGCTCAGCAGCCATAGTCCTGAGCCGCCTTTTACACAGCAGTCCTCTTATACTGCAGATGTCATTTTTTTTTTGTCAACCTGAAGTTGTCATAAAGTTTATCTTCATACACTAGTTGCCATAAAATTTGCCCTACATGGCCACTTCTCTGTGTTCATTGCCACACCTGATCCACTAATTTTCTGCAGCAACAGTTCTCACTCACTCAGTCTTGCATATCACCACTTTACTAACACCACTTCCTGGGCGTCGTTACTAGTGCAGCAGCTGACACTAGAGGTTTACAAGGTTCTCCGGTTCTCCAGGCATCTTTAATTGGGTGTGTTCTGCGCATTAAAGTCATCATTCATCTCACTATGATTAAGACTTAACCTTCAGACTGCAAGACAGTTTCAAGTGTCCAGTGTTCAATCTCACTCTTTATTTAGTTGGTTAAGTTCACAATCCTCACCGGTTTCTCACAAAGTTTCTTTTAGAATTTCTCTCACCGATATTTCACAATTTCTATCTTTCATATTTTCCGCTTTCAGTCATCAATATATATTTCAACACTACTACACTACTGTATTCTCTTTTCCGGTATAAACAAAACCCCACCCCGACTTCGTCATACACACTATTGTATCGCTCTATCGCACACTTCGAAAACATGAATGGAAATCACATAACACATTTCGTGTAAACGGTAATAATCCCTGTGGGCCATAGCACTGCGCCCTATGAAACGCCACTTCTCTCCTGAGATGGGGTGCTCACCTTGCGCGCCTAAAACTACCTGTGCCAGTGATCCTTGTGACCACTCTATCCACTGCTTCACTCATTCATTACTACCCCTTCCCTCCACAACAACACAATCCATCATCACCTCTCCCCGGCAGCCAGTGTTGTATCACGCTTCACTACACCAACACTGTCACTCCACTAACCATGTTTGTGACTTGCACACGTTCAGGTCCCAACGCTACTATGGCATGGCCAGGTACACCAAAACGTGTAAGCTTTGAACCGAGATGTTTGGCGAAGGATGCTGAGAATGGTACGATAATACTCGTTTTTTTATGCCACGGTTTCCAAGATGTCTACTTACAATGGTCTCCTTTAAACAGAGCCAATACAAAATATTCTTTAAACTTAACCATCACTGTCATGTCCTATAAACCTAATACACTTTACACATATAAATACTTGTATCGCGTGTCGTAGTAATGAACGCTTTACAACCATAGCTATGAGAACAAACCCTCACACCACGACACCTAAACAAACATTTTATTCCTCTTTATTTATAAGTGTTCACCGTCAAGTCTGTCTCTACACCGTCTACACGTAAATTCTACATGGAAGTCCGCTACCAACATGGAGTAATATTATCATCAACACTAAGCATCACACAACAAACCAATTTACACTTAATACTTGGCAACTATAACGCGGGGGGGGGGGGGTGGGCTAATGCCCGAGGCCCAGAACTGGGGGTGTGGGAGGTTGCTGGGGGGCGGGGTCTACCACAAGACTTGTTGTAACCCATCCTGACTCTCCTAACACCATACAGTAATAAACAACTTGTCATGAATACTTATGATAAAAATCTAGGAGGTAATGTGGTTCAGTAGCCCGCGTCTTATAGTGAAGAAGGTGGAAATAAACCACCTTGGCTCATAAGACGCCCTGGGGAAAAATCACCACTTGAGAGCGAGATACCCAGGGCCATATTCCCCCTCTATGATTTAACCGTTCACTGGGAAACACCCGGTAACCCGTGCACTGGACAGGTGTTTCCCTTCTACAGGTACCACAATATTGATCCTCGTCACCCTACCACGGCAATTACCCGCCTCGACACACGCGTCTCGTCACCTCCATACACAAACGCAAACGGGTAGTCGCTAATTTAAAAGACCCGCCAATGGCCCCGCTGCATGTGGTAGATTTGTTGTCGGTTTCAAAGATTCTAATTTCACAAATACTGGGATAATATTACACGCCCGGACTGGTTGATGGTCATGGCTACGGCACAAGATAGCAGCTATTTTGCCTCATCTAATGGTGGTAACGTAACACAGCCGAAAGGAGTAGATTTAAGTTCACTGTTATCGGGAGGTTCACCACGAGAAGCATAAAGAATGTACGGTAATATTTGTGGGTATGGCCGAGTGGGTAGGGTGACCCGGGCAAGGTATAGGTAGCCTAAGGTAGGGCCAGCCTTTACTGCCAAGCCCCCCACCACATACACCACGCTCACCACTACTACCAAGGTCCCCCCACACACACCACGCTCACCACTACTACCAAGGTCCCCCACCACACACACCACGCTCACCACTACTACCAAGGTCCACCCCACACACACACCACGCTCACCACTACTACCAAGGTCCCCCACCACACACCACGCTCACCACTACTACCAAGGTCCCTCCACACACACAACGCTCACCACTACTACCAAGGTCCCCCACCACACACACCACGCTCACCACTACTACCAAGGTCCCCCCACACACCACGCTCCTACCAAGGTCCCCCCACACACGCTCACCACTACTACCAAGGTCCCCCCACACACCACTACTACCAAGGTTCCCCCACACACACCACGCTCACCACTACTACCAAGGTCCCCCACACACACACGCTGACCACTACTACCAAGGTCCCCCCCACACACACCGCTCACCACTACTACCAAGGTCCCCCCACACACACACACCACGCTCACCACTACTACCAAGGTCCCCCACCACACACACCACGCTCACCACTACTGGGTCCCCCCACACACACACCACGCTCACCACTACTACCAAGGTCCCCCCACACACACCACGCTCACCACTACTCACCACTACTACCAAGGTCCCCCACACACACACACCACGCTCACCACTACTACCAAGGTCCACCCCCACACACACACGCTCACCACTACTACCAAGGTCCACCCCCACACACACCACGCTCACCACTACTACCAAGGTCCACCCCCACACACACCACGCTGACCACTACTACCACCACCCCACACACACCACACCACTACTACCAGGTCTACTACCAAGGTCCCCCACACCACGCTCACCCTACCAAGGTCCCCCACACACACGCTCACCACTACTACCAAAGTCCCCCCACACACCACGCTCACCACTACTACCAAGGTCCCCCCCACACACACACGCTCACCACTACTACCAAGGTCCCCCCACACACCACGCTCACCACTACTACCCCCACACACCACGCTCACCACTACCAAGGTCCCCCCACACACACCACGCTCACCACTACTACAAGGTCCCCCCCAACACCACTACTTCCTTGGTCGATTAACTTCTTGATCTCTCTACCTTGGTGGTTATAATTGTCACCCAATGTTATACTATAATGTCGGTGTTGTCTTAAGTCATTTGTTGTACTTGAATACTGTCTTTATGTCTTAAGTTCATTCCATGGATCAATCAGAGAATACTTCTACCACAGACAGGATCACCCAGCCACGTCATCCAACGATCTCCCACACAACCACGTTCCTCCATACAACCACGCCACACCATCGTTCCTCTACACAACCACGCCACCCATCGTTCTCCTACACAGCCATGCCACCCATCGTTCTCCAACACAGCCACACCACCCAACGTTCTCCCACATAATCACACCACCCAAAGTTCTCCCACATTGTCATGGTCACGTTTGTGTAGTTAGTCCGGTCAACACTTAATTATTCACATTATGCTACAGCGCCCACAAAACATGTGAAACGTTTGAGTCCCTCAGTAGAGACGTCCGTTCTTTATTTAATTCAGAATATCTTAGTCCTTCGTTTTCTTTTGGTGTACTCGCTCAGGGACTCGGGTATTTTTTAATTAACTTGGGATGTTCAGGGATTTGAAATTGTGAGTGAATGAATTTCTTATACAGTCAATTATGTACACCCACCTTGAGGGGAAAGAGTCTAGATGTATTGAGTATATGTTGGAGGTATCCTGTATCTTATATGTAGAGTATTTTGTGTTAAGAGATTGTGTGTTGAGTACTCTGTTTACCAGCTGTAAATCTTATTTACCGTTTGTTCTTACGCGGGCGGAGGCCGTTCGTAACTAGTCATTTTGTTTTGATATATGTACATCAGATAATCCTATGGCACCATAGAAAGTGTTGTCAGCCTTGTATAGTAGAAGATAGATAATTGCCTGAAATGTAAACACAAAACGTATTTATCGCGATATAAACATGATCCGATCATGCAATGTTGTTGTATGAGTTCACCGCTAAGTACAGGTTACTTTGGGTGTGTTATTTGTCCGAGAATTTGTGTGTATATTCTCCTCAGTGCTATGTATGTTTAGAGCTAACAAGAGTATGAGGTAAGCCATTTATTCTTGCGAAATGTAACCACGGTAGCTCTACAGGAATTTAGTTGTGGGGCTACTGCTGCAGAGTCCTATTACTACCTACAAGCTACATTTTCAGGTAACCTGTTCGGTTGATGCTCCAGTGTACTATAGCTGTGATCACAGTGTTGGGTGGTTTTGTGAAAAGTACACCGTTTTGTTTGTATACTGGAAGTTGTATTGTACCTTACTGTGAAGTACCATGGGTGGAGCCACGAAGGTAATCCGTGCAGTTTGTATACAGGAAGTGTATTGTTTGGTACTCCAGTGTACGAGGTATCAGAGGAGTGTGGTGTCTTGTTTAAAAGACACACCAAGTGATGGTGACTGCGAGAGATGTACTGTACCTTGTTGAGAAGTACATGAGTGTTATTCATGGTAGTTGTGTGTACCGGACGTAGTCAGAAGTCTATCATTTTTGTAATAAACCATTTTTATTGTATGTTAGGGGTTTATTTTCCTACAGTGACCACCTTTATTTTCTTCCCCATATCTTGGTACAGATTCACGGGTCCCCCACAGGTCTTGCCCTCGAGCCACAGGTCAGAGTTAAGACAGAGAAAGTACAGCAAAAAATAGTATAATTAAAGAGTTTTTCCCACCGTTACAACACAACCTTACCACATAGCGTTCTCCCACACAACTACGCCACCCAACGTTCTCCCACACAATCACGCCACCCAACGTTCTCCCACACAATCACACCACCCAACGTTCTCCCACACAACTACGCCACCCAACGTTCTCCCACACAATCACACCACCCAACGTTCCCCCACACAACTACGCCACCCAACGTTCCCCCACACAGCGTTCTCCCACACTCTAATGACCACGGTCGTACATGTTAGTGAACGTAAAATCAGACGATTCATATGACGCTCAATAGCCCACAAAACATGTAGCTATGCCTTTTTCATTGAGTCCCCCATCTGAGACGTCCATTTTCTCATCGCTTCAGGACGCCTGAGACCTCCGTTTTCTCTCGACCCCGGAGTGCACCCGAGACTCCGCTATTCCTTGGTATCTCGGGCGCGACACAAAATTTGAAATTGCAACTGTAGTTGTATATGTTAAGGCAAACTAGATATATCTGATGACAGATGAAACATTCAAGATCCCTTGTGAGTGATGGTGAAAGCTTCAACTGTCTTTATTGTTAGCCAAATTTGTTAAATAAGTGAGTGTCGACTCTGTCAGTAAGAATGGCATCTCCAGAGTCCTAATATCATCCTTGGGGATAGCCATGAGTTTCCAATTACTACTGAAGTTAGATTACTTTAATACCCAAACCTTAGAGAATCTGATGTTTGTAGTTTAATTATTGTCAGTTGTCTATTTAAGAAAGCAATTGATTTCCTGAAAACATTCTGTCAAACTATATAATTATCTCCAAGATCTCAACGTATGCCCAAAGAGGGTCCTTGTCTGAAATCCCGCTGATGTTGTGAGAATGACGTTTACAGCGTGTGTATTTGATGCACATTTCACTTTTTCCCGGCAAGCTCAATCTCTGATTAGATTATAAAAAATAGACATAAGAAATTCACCTG